TTTAAAAATCAGCGTGGGTACCGCATGTGGGCTAGAAGTGTGTGTTAATGTGTGCGTGGGCGCATTAAAAAAAAAAAAAAGGCTCCAGAGTTGTGGGTCCGCGCTGGCTGCGTGTGTATGCGCCTCGCCCCGGGCTCTCTTCTGGTCCCGGGCCGGGCTGCCTCCCACGCTGGGGTACGGCCGGGGTTGAGCTGAAGAGTAGGAGGAGGAAGAGGAGGAGGCGTGCGGTTGTAGTGGCGGTGCTGGTGTTGTTGTTGTTGAGTGGGCCGGTGCTTGTGAGTCAGCCTGTTGCGCACCCCCAAAATGAGAGGACACTGCTGGATGGCTATTTGGAGCAAGTGCTGTAAGCGCTTATGGAGTGGAAAAGAAGTCTTTTCTCCGTCTGTCTGACCATCAAACCGTCCCCGCCTTCCTCCAACATTTCACATCATAATTCTGATTGAACGCGGAAGTGGCCTTTTTGCTGTTGAGTCATGGAAGCGTTGCACCCAAACCAGGAATCAAAAATCCTTACACTGCCTCCGTCATACTCTGTGTGCGCTGATTTCTTTTGTTGAGTTGTTTATGTTGGAAAAAAAATGGATGTATTTTCATTGCCACCCCCTGCCTTGTTCTTTTCGGAGTGCACTCAGCTGATCGCAGAAACTGTCTTAAACAGGGAGTGTCATGATTTATGAACGGTAAAATCTTGGCGGAGGCCTGCGCTGTAGTGTGGTGCTATTATTTATTTTTTTGTGCGTTGATGGTTCTTTTTCTTCTTTGAGAGCATTTGTGGTGCATTTACAGCCAGGTTTTTGGACGCATGACGCTTCTGCTGGAACCGCTCGCTCCTTTTCACCCCACATTTAATTGTTGGTCGTTGGGGACAAAACCTCCAGCAAGTCTAATCTGCCATGAACAGCACACTCACATGCCGCACATGAGCGTGTATTTTTTTTGCAAAGTCGTAAGCAATCAGGAATGACATCAAGGGGACTAACTGTGCCGGGTCAACACGCGCTAAGACGATTTCACAAGCGGTTCTTCGTCTTGCGCTCCCTCAGACATGACTTTCATGTGAGGTGGAAACAAGTATTTCTCTGTTAAAACTGCTTATGCGAGGTGACAATGCATGTTGAAAGTCGACCTCAAAATTGGAGCAGAGACATGAAACTCAGAATTGTGTGAGCTTTGTAAAAAAACAACAAAAATATGTTTTCTCCATGTCTTGATCAAAAGGAAGAAAGTTGAAAAATGAGGGTGTACTCACTTTTTATTGCACAGCAATGATTTGAATGGCATCGTGATGAAACGCCAAGGTTGGTGGACATCTGCCTTGACTGGTTAGTTTGAGATGAAGCTTTTTGATATATCAACACAGATTATCAGATGTGTCAGAACTGCTGAGTGTTCCGAATTTAGGTTTTCTTGCCATGATATTGAGAAGCTTTCTGGAGACAGCAAACTTCCTCTTGTGGCGACTTGCAGCCAAGTAGTGAAGGCCAATTCATCACAGTTGCTTCAAGACGCCGTAAATGAATTGACAATCAATCAACAAAACCAATCAATTCACTTATTTATATAATGTTTTCCCAAGCAGTGCTCAGTGGTCCAGTGGTTAGCACATCAACCTCACAGTGCGGAGGTTTTGGGTTCAATTCCAGCTCTGGCCTCCCTGTGTGGAGTTGCATTTTCTTACCGGGCCTGCGTGGGTTTTCTCCGGGTACTCCAGTTTCCTCTCAAATTCCAAAAACATGCATGGCAGGCTGATTGAACACTCCAAAATTGTCCCGAGTTCGTCTCCGTGTGCCCTGCGATTGGCTGGCAACGGGTTCAGGGTGTCCCCCGCCTACTGCCCGAAGACAGCTGGGATAGGCTCCAGCACCCCCGGCGACCCTCGTGAGGATAAGCAGATCAGAAAATGAAAAATGAATGAATGAATGTTATCCCAAACCCCACAACGCTAGCTTCCATCACATGAAACTGTGGCGTTGCTAAACAAAAATAAACATTTTGTAAATGTTCCAGTACGTTCCTGTTCTAAAGCTTAAAGCTCACACCCAATTTAATCTGCAATAAATCTTCTTTATGGAAAGTTTTAAGTTGAACCTAAATCCTATTGAAAATGATCAGAATAAATGAAATGGTCACATTTCATCAAATGCGAATGGAATTAGTCTTGCTTATGTAGGGTATTGCGAGCGAAAGGAGAAGTTGTTGGTATCAAATTCAACGCTGTCAGCTCAAGAAATGTTCTCATATTTTTATATTATGATGCATGGCTACAAAGTCAAATTCTGACAACATAGAGAGAATGCTTTCATCGAAAACATGTGTGTGTAATGGCTCTTTGGATTTTCGACACACGGTTTGGACATTTCTACATATTTCAATCAAGCCTTCTCAGAAGTGGAAGTCGGGCTCGGGGCCAGCGCGACCCCGTGAGCTCAGCCGCGTTCACGGCAGCTTCCTGGGTTGCGCCTGTTGTGAAGATAATGGAAGGTGGGTCTCCGGGAAAGTCGCAGGGAGTCCACCAGTCTGGGGCGTGGGTGTCGGCGCCAAGTGGGAGCGGCGTGGGTGGGACTGCTGGGCAAGCGCTGGATGACGGCATGGGCGTGCAGGGGGTCAGGGGCGGGGCCAGGTGGAAGTGAGAGCAGGAAACGCGATTTGGAGCGCTCACGCCTAGTGTCGTGGCATTCGCTCTCCACCAGGGGAGCCGGAGAGCGACGCAGCGGTCCTCAGAGACCACGCATTCCTGGCGGCGTGACCCCTCACCGCCTTGGCAGCAGCGCTCGCCGCTCTCGTGTCCTGCGAGGAAGCACAGTCGCTCATTCACTCACTTGAGATGTTTTCCTTCTCGCACCTCTGAAGGGAAGAGGAAGAGGAAAGGGGGAGGACGGAGGAGGCAGGGGTTGTGCCGCAATGACGAAGCGGAGAGTCGTTCTTTCGGACGAGTCACATTGCCGTCATACCTCCGCTGACAGTGTGGACTTTGTGTGTCTCTGTAAAAGCATTTGTCGTTTTCACAGTCACTTTTTGGGAAGCTCAGAGTCCTGCAGACTGACTTACAGTTACTTACAGTAACGCTCCTTTCTTAAGTCTTATCGGATTTTGTTGCATCACACACTGCGATTCACAGAAAATAATTTCATTATTGCGGTTTTGTTTTTGAGGAAATACGCTTGGATTTCTTTTTAAGCAAGCATATTATGTTTGTCCAAAAAATCATTTGTTTACTACTTCACTAAAGAGGAAGTAAGTCAAGGAAGAATTTGTTTAATTCAGGAGCAGATGATTTTTGTTATTAATAATTTTTTTCTGCAGCATATCGTCAGTATTCTTAAAAAGGCCTGCATTTACGTTTAACCCATGAGTGTCCACACGTGTTCCTTTGATGGCCACACACAGAAATTCAAAGGATTGACTTTTTTTTTTTAACTTGAATTTATCAAGCATGCCAATACCATCAATCAAGTGGGCTGCATCTTGGTTGTACGGTTCATATTATAGTTATTTTGAAAAAGTAATATATCACAGCTTTCTGTTAACAAGGATTTTTCAGGATTTTGGGGTTTCCCATGGCCCTGTATTCCACTACAATAGATGTGCACAGAGCGCATCTCCACATTCAGAACCAAAAGAAGCAGAATCTGTCGTGGGTTGACATTCTCTGTAGCACTGTTTACTTTAGGATCACTAATGTGATATGTTCAAAAAAACGGACTTTGACACGGAGGGGGATGCCGAAGGTCAAAACAATTTATTTGTAGTTGTTGGAGTTGTTGTCTGGGACATTATACCCACCTGGGATGTGGTTGTCTGCTTTCACGCTGCCCCAACATACTTTTTAAAATAGAGTTGCAGGCCGTGTCAAATGTTATTTTGAGTACACGCCATGTCTTTGAAAGAATGCACAGCGGGCCGTAGTTAGAACACCCACCTGGGGTTTACCCCGATAACACCAAGTAATGGTGCAGAACCGTGAATTTCCCGCACTTTGGGTGGTGTTGTTATGACGTAGCGACACATGTTGTTCTGTTGTGACTATTCGAGCATTAACAAAATATGCCTAATATGACCCGAGTAGCATCAAGTCATAGTGCACTTCCATCAGTGGCGGATGCTGGTCTGTCAAGGAGGGGAAGCTCAATTTCAGCCTACATCATAAAATGTGTCCGTTTATTTATACGTGGATTCTACTCTCCTTTCCTTTTCAAGAAAATTAACTGTGACCCTGTCATACCAACAAGGCGTCTTTTCCAGGGACTTAACTAGTGTCCTACAACTACAGCAACTACAATAAAACCCACCAGAAATAAAAGATGAATTTGTCGCTAGTCGTTTTCAACAAAGAGAGTGTCGCACAGATGATTAGAAGAAGTCTCCAGTTCAACTCAGAACAGAATGAGAATTGAAAACTGCTCCCACGATGCCTGCAACTAAAGATCGGTGATTGGCTCATTTCGCTGTCAATCAAAAAGAGATTCAGCCTCAGACAGATCATCCAATCATCATGCAGAAAAGCTCAGTGTCCGGGCCAGCCCATAAATGCCCACTGTCCATAGACTCCCAGAGACGCTGAGCGTTTGATGGGCGGGACAAAACCATCATTTATCCAATGACTCTTTAAACACCGCTGTAGACGCTCGGCGTTCACACAGTTTAAAGCACAGTGAAGCTGCGGGAATGAATGAGAAGAGAGTCGCGTCGTAACCAGTAATAAGAAGCTGATTCGGAACAAAGGTTGAGCGCATTGTCACGCATATTTAGTCAATGACATGTACACACAATTGTATGTACACACATGTATTTGATCACTTATTTTTGGACATTTTAGGGGAAGCTGAGCTTCCCTTGCAGTCTTAGAAGCAATCCCCTTGACTTCCATGATTTTTTTTTTTTTTGTTAGAAATCAGAGAATATTTACTGTTGAGAAGGAGAATAAGAATTTGCATTCAATGTGTTCACATCTTCCTGGTCAAACAACTCATCAAACATGAGTCATGTTGAAGAAATGTCACCTTTTCACCCCGTTTATCACCTGTCCTAAAAATGTGAGGGTGGGAACCACTCCAACATGCCTGTGAAGTCAAAGAATGAGATGTCAATAGAATTTACTGGTTCAAATGTCATACTAATTAACCATGTGCAAAGACGTATGAGGACTGCAGACTGCAAACGTAACAAAATTGTTGTGTGTGTGTGTGTGTGTGTGTGTGTGTGTGTGTGTGTGTGTGTGTGTGTGTGTGTGTGTTTGTGTGTGTGTGTCAGAGCTCACAAGGTTGAAAACATAAAACTAGTCAATAAATGTAGAACCCACTACCTTAAAAGTCAGACAGGATTGAATTAACAGGCTAGGCTAGCTATAAAAGGCTACATTAGCTGGACGCTAGCATACTAGAGCATTTAAATTCGGGATTCATCATATGCTTCTTTTTTCCTCTCAGTTCATCATGCTATTTAACTCAGTGCCAATTTGCAGGATTAAGGAAAAAATATAAAGGCGTTCACGGAAGACAGTCAAACCATGCTGCATGTTGAACAAATGTGTTTCTTTCTGATTGTTAATGAAATCATAACAATGGAATCTTTAAAGAGAAAGTTATGTTCGTCATCAACAATACTCACGAGTATTGAACAGTATTGTCCTGAAATCAGTGTTCAAGTACTGGTTGGATCATCAACCAATTCTGATTACCATAAAAAATAATAGTCCGAACAATAATAATAATAATAATAACAACATTATGAATTTGACAAAGGAGTTAACTGACATTTGCAGTGGAAATTCAGGGTGACTGACTGTTCGGTCTTTTCATAATCTTCTGACGGCACCATATGCAGGCATTAGTGACAGAGCGCCTGGTGATTGGTGGAGAACTGGCAAATGTTTTTGGGTTGCTGGGCAGAGGTTGGTTGCGTCAGAGTCGGCTCTCAAAAAATACACCCATGCAGGAAGCTTTGTTGGCCAATAATACCTGGGGCCCCAAATTGGCCCCAGGCCAGAAGTTCGATACTGCCGCCTTAAATAGTTTTGCTGCTTTTGTGTGGCATAAAAATAACAGTGTGTGTGTGCTTTGTCATTATTCTCATAATCATGGAAAAATTCCTATGTCACACAAATGCGTCAAGGGTGAAGCTGCAGCGTTTTACCTGTTTCTGCGGGGTTAATACCGGGTAATGCACTCACGCACACATACACGCACACACACACACACACACACACACACACACACACACACACACACGCAGGGATAGTCAGGGTCAGACAGACAGCAATGTAGCACAAGTCCAGTGGGCACAGATAAGACATGCAGTCATGCCTCGCCAGCGTGACCATGACATCACAGTTGAATTGAATGCTTGCTACAAACATAGTAGCCAAATATAGTCAATGTGGTTCCTTAGGGCATGCCCCCCCAAGCCCCTTGTGAAGTTAAAACCACAGTGACCCGTTTAACGCGAATAGCACTCATCAGAGTGCTGGCCATCTGTGTGGTGAAACAATATATTCAAACAAAAACAAACAAAAAATGGTAGGTAAACAATAGCAACCTGCAAATGTAGGTGGCAATAATTTTAATATTTAGATAATTTAATAATTACAAAGTGGTTGCTAACTCCCAGACAAATGAAAACTCTGTGGAAGGTGCAGAACTTTTACAATGATCAATAAAAAGCTATTTCTGTATCCGCAGCTTCCGCCAAATTTGCAGCAAATTTTTGAAAAAAATCAGTTTGGTAGTTCTTAGTTACGATCTACATCTGTCATGTTTTGTGGAAAATTTGAATGATGAATTAACAAAATACATATTATTGTAATGCGTCAGCAATCATTATTACCTACCGTCAATCATTTTATAGCTAGGCTAATTAAATATTTCTGTAAAATAACTATATCAGGGGTGGAACTGTTAAGAAAAGCCATGGTTTGGTTCATATTTTGGGTTTCGCGTTACAATGACAAATATCAATTATATGAAAACATAATAGTGTATCCAGATGTTCACAGCAATATTATTCATTACTGTGATTGTATTATTATTTCAATTGTTATTATTATTTTCTACTTCAATTCATCCCATAATCAAAACACTTCAGTCACAAACATAGTGAGTTCCAGCGTCATTCCATGTCGTTTGTTTTATGTACCAGAGGTCTTGCATTGGGGATATCAAGACTCAGTTGCGATGGCTTACAATTGGAATGCTAGCGTCATTCTGAATTCAACTGGAGAGGGTTGATTAATGCACCACTTGGCCCCAATGAAAGTGGACTGTGACCACAAAATCTCCAAATGAGCAAATTTTAATGTGGCATTGTTTGAAAGATCCGGCAGCCCTCCCTACAGTTTAATAGAAATCTCTTGTATAGTTTTTGCGTAATCCTGCTAACAAACAAAGGAAAGAATGCTGAACAAAGCGAAGCAAGTGTTTGCTTGGTCGGCTTGAGGTTACTAAAATCGGTGTGTTGCTGAGCGTTAAGGGGAAAAAGAGCGCATTTAAAATCATTAAATTTTCTCCTGAATCAACAGTGCGCCTCGTAATCTGGAGCGCCTTGAGTATGGATGAACGCCAGCAATTCAATTCAAATTTCTTTCTATTATGCTCACATACTCATTCTCTCCTGCATTTAATCATAAGCAGGCATCTCTTTTCGTCATACGGAAGTGGAACTACTTCCTGCTTTCATGTTTAAGAATCACAGGAAATGTAGTTTTACTAGCCTAATGCTATAGTTGCTGCTTAGACCCAACGCAAGCTAAGTGTTTTCTGGTATAGATTTCCAACGTTAGAATATGGGACCTGATACATGTAATAATTCAGTTTGAAAAAATGACAAGACAGCAAGACTGAGAATTGAATCGCTCTGAAAAATGTCTTAACAACTCGCTTCCCAAACATCCCAAATATTTTAACGTCGTCTTTGTTATCTGTTGCATTCCGCCCACCTCTCCTTAACTTTTCCTCTGTTGTTTGAATTCTTTGACCTTATCTGTGTAAGTCTTGTTTATCTGCTGCTGTGTCACCAGCACCTCTGTCGGCCGTTAAGCTGCTACCCGAGCACACCGCGACAGAATTCCCAGGCTGCTCGGCTGCCCGAGTTCACACCTTTTTGTCTACAGGAATCTCAGGAATCCCCAGCTTCCTTTCCATTGTGTGTGCGAGTGTGTGTGTGTGCATGTGTGTGTGCGTGTGTGTGTGTGTGTATGTGTGTGTGCTTTTTAGTATGTCAGTCTGGAGTGGAAGTGACAGCATTACGAGGGGACTGCGTGCGTGTGTGTGTGTGTGTGTGTGTGTGTGTGTGTGCATGTGTGTGTGTGGCAACATGAAGGAAAGGCCCCCGCCTGTTGAAATCTCCGCCCTTGTATCCACCCAGAGAAAGCAAGCAGGCGGCTCTCACAATAGGCTGAGTCACATTCTAAAATGGCCCAAAACTGATCTTTTTCACTAGAACAACAAAAAGTTTTTTTTTCCAATAAACCTTGAGATAAATTTAAATGTCACTTTTAATGATCCAAAGCGCTCCAGGTAATTCATATTTCACAATTTTCCATTTTGACAGAGGCACCAATCAGCCAAATATTATTTTATTCATTATTATAAGATGTCAATTTTGGTTTTACAGGGTAATTTCAAGACAGCAAACAAAATCCCCCCCACCCAAAAAAAAGTTTGGGATACTTGATGAGAATTTTGTTCACAATTTGGGGGTTTACATACATACACGTGTGTCAATGTGCCTGCAACATGAACTCCCATTGCAAGTGAAACCACAAAACAATGCTAACTCTGCACAAAGATCGCAGACATTAACATTCAGCAAATATGGTGGACAAAGACACTACATTTTGCCAAAGATATGTCATTTTGAAAGTAATTACAGGGTTCTTCGAACAAAATCTTTCAAAATCTAATTGCATGATTGATGAACCTGTTCATAATTGGTCATTGGTCCAGCAGCGTGAGCGAAATTTTACCTATGCATTCGCTAACGATGTTTCCTGCCACAACAGAACCCATCAAAATGTTATATTTTGCCATTACTACAGAGTGTTTTTACTTGAATGATATATATTGACATATGAAAAATTAAAGGCAAACAAAAGACAGACAAAACCAAAAACTTTCTCCCTCTTTGATAAATATTGTTTGGACAGTTTATAATAGGTTCGATAGAAAAGACACTGTCCTCATCAGTCAGTAGCACACAGAAAAACTGTATAGTCATTTGTGTTAAATTTGCCTGTACTGTATTTCAAATGGTCTAAAGTACTGAACAGGTTAATAGTTTGGCAAAATTAAATTAAAAACAGAATGCTATGATTTGAAAATCCTTTTCAACCGATATGCAGTGGAGTACACAACAAGATATATTGTTATATATATTTTCAAACTCATAAACTTGAACTTTTGGGCTTGTAGGACTGACGACACTAACCCTTGAAGTTTTACGGATGGAATTCTTTCCCATTCTTGCTGTACAACTTCACTCCGATGTCGTATTTTGCACTTCATAATGCACCACACATTTTCAATGGGAGACGGGTCTGGAGTGCTGGCAGGCCTATCTAGTATTCAGTATTCTTTTTATGACAAATTCACACTGTTGTAACACATGCAGAATATGGCTCGTCATTGTCTTGCCGAAATAAGCAAGGACGTCCCTGAAAAAAATGTTGCTTGGATGGTAGCATATGTTGCTCCAAAACCTGCATGTACCTTTCAGCATTAATGGCGCATTCACCAATGTATAATTAAATTAACCATGCCATAGGCACTAACACCGTCACAGATGCTGGCTTTTAGACTGTGTACTGATAAAAATCTGGATGGTCCTTTTGCCCGAGGACACAACGTCCATGATTTCCAAAAACAATTTGAAATGTGGACTCGTTAGACCACAGCACACTTTTCCATTCTCAGATGAGCTTGCACTCAGAGAAGCCAGCAGCGTTTTGGAATCATTTACAAGATGGCTTTCCCTTTGCGTAGTAAAGTTTAAAGCACGGCGTCCCAATTTCATTGAAAATAAGAGCTTTGTAGTTTATTTTATCGCATTACAGCACTTTGCTGTAAGCACTTCTTTCTTTCGCTCACGACCTCTGATTGTAATTAGAGGGTTGACATTAGTGATAAATTCAACAAAATTCTCTGGAGAACATCAATTCAGAGTTTTTTTTTTGTTGTCATTTTTAGTCCTTCCAGGAATATGGGCATCATTTTGGCTGCACGTTTTTGATCAAATTATGCTGTAACAGAAACAACAAACGTGGCAGACATGCTGACACACCAAATTCAGCACCCCTAAAAATACACTTTGCCAGTATAAATAAAAAGCAAGTATTCTTAAAACAAAGTCTAAGCTTTCTGGTAAAAGCTATTTTGTACAAAATCCTACAAACTACTGGTGACAGAATGATAAATAATGAGGGAGCGAAGACGGTGTTTATGCGACTCCTGATGTTTTTTGGCAGCTCTGGAGTCATTTGAGCCTCTGCGGTCTTGACTCATCTCCCGATCGAGCGCCGCTTGCTGCCACAGCTCAGCAACGCCTGTCGGACCCGACGCCGAGCAAAATGCATACACAAACCTGTTCATTCATCGGATCAACACGCGACAGGCGGTGATTCATGCACACCCACTCGCTCTGTGTCCTCACATCGAGGCAGGCCGAGGCTTTTTGCCAAAATCGGATGACTGTCGAGTCCCAACCACAGAGTCTTTGAAGTCCACATGACACCCCGCATCGTAGCCCTTTGTGCTTACTGCTCATAACTGCAAATAGGTACCAAAACAGCCCATCTGTACCATAACACTTTTGGGCACTCTTCTATTCCCAAAAGTGCACGCATGCGAGAAGCTCACCTGACAATACAAATGCTAAAACTACCCGACAATATTGCGCAGTATATTAAATCATTTGCATAATATCCATAATCCTTCCAAATAAATGTATCTCTGTGCCTCACACCGCTTACTTGATAATATTTAACGATATTGAGGGCAAATTTTTCCTAAATTAACACGCCTGGAAATGTTATTTGGGAGCAGTGGTTGTGACCACAAATTATGACTGGACCAAATGATGACTAATTATTTTGATCCAAAGAGGAAATTTTGTACAAGGCAGCAATACAACCTTTTCATTACAGGTCTGTTTTTGTTTGCCTATATTATTTTAATGTGAGGAAGGTGAATTTATTTCTTTTTTTTTACGTCATTTGAAGATTGTCCTCCCCGCCCCCCTAATGCTACCTTGCGCCTTCATTTAGTAAAACCTGGATTAACCAACTCATAACGAGTTCTAGACCCAGTAAAACTTAGCTTAAAGCAAACCGCAACTAGGTTTAGACCAGCCAAAGACTTTTAAATTTTAAAAACGCTCACAGTATGAGGGAATTGCCGTTACCAAATTTTTATAGGCTATGCACCCCTATAGAACATTAATTTCACCACCTACAAAATGAATATCACATTTAAAAGGAGAGGATTACAGGAAATACTTCATTCTTGCACCTTGAAGAATATCGATGTCATTCAAAGATGACACCTATAATATCGCCAACAAACCCCGGTTTGAGTATACAGTAGAGAAGAGGGAAAACAAAATTCTGCTTTGGCCAGGCAGGAATTAGGTTCAACCCAGCCAAAGGTTTTGTTCACACTACAGTTACACGCTAAGAGTACCATAGACCAGCACTGCCAAACCTTTTTACGTACCGCAACACTGCAATCTTTTCACCTCCTATAAAAGTAATATCACATTTGAAGACGAAGGGCCAGAAATGATGATAGAGAGACAGTGCAAGTTTCCACACTCACTTAAATGTTTTCTTACATCCCGGTTTAGAACATTGCATATCTAAGTCGAGACCGACCAAAAACTTTGCTTGAGTCCAAACCAGAGGACGTTGAGACCAAAACAAAATAAATCGGATCAGATTCCTTCTGGCGTAGCTCAAGATGACACTTGCTCGTGCGCTCAAAAGACTTCAGGCCAGTATTATTGGGAGATACTAGTGACGAGCGCGTGTTTATGAGGAGGGGCGACAAGCATTCCGTCACAGTGTTGTTATTCTGGGCTCCAACATGCATTTAAGATCAGCGGTGCTACGCATTGGGTCGGGACCTCCGCAGCCGCATGAGCTCATAGTAGCCGGGGTGGGAAACAAGCGTAATTCTCACTTAAAACAATCTCCCTCGATTGGGAGAGGTGTGAACATTAGGGTGGAATTCATAGCTTGGGACTTGCTCTTTTAGCAGGAAAAGAACTCCGGCAATTTGGGTCAAATGTCCCGGGAAGTGAGTCAGCGAGTGTATTTAAAAGTTATGAATGAAGCCCGACAAAGGCAATGTGTTTATGTGTGGCAATGTGTGTGTAACATGGGTGCAGCAGCGTTGCCTTTGATGAGTCACATGGCCTCCTGTGAGTAAGCGATCAGCTATGTCATTCCTGGAGGTTTGGAACTCCCACCCTCCGCCCTGAACCCCCGAGAGTCGGCGAGTGGGTGGAGAAGGGTGGGTAAGGGTGCGATAGGTGTGGTTGGCAGTGATGGTGTGCGTGGTTTTAGAATGGCAGGAAGTAGGTGAAGGCTGGCAGAGGTTGGGGGCGCCACACCAAGAGGCGAGGACCGAGGTTGTTCTCAGGTCAGCACATGGCAGGCACCTCCGCCCGTGTCGTTAGCGACTTCCTATTTAGGCGCGGTGGTCCCCTTGAACGTCTTTTAATGATGTCACCGCTTTAATCTCCTATCAAGTAAGACGTGGAGATTGGAGACCAGCTGTTCAGCACTACTTGTTTGTTGCTTTGTCTGATTGATTGTTGTTTCACAACATGATGTAAAACAAATCATGAAAATAAAATTGTCCCTTTTTTGAGTGGGCATGTCCAAAGCCTTTGAATCACGTCAGCTCTCTGTGAAACCTTCTCTCTTGCGCATCCACATGAAAAAAAGCATCTTTCAGCAATATGGGTGCCATTTGTTTTTAATTTGAGAAAAAAAAAAGGGAAACAGTGGAGCCGCAAAACTTGAAGCGCCAAGTGGCAAGGGATAACTGCACTGTCCTATATTTGTCCCGCAATGGGGAAATTCCAAGTTCAGATCAGCAAAGTGGACAGTAGTCACATGTCAATGTCGATTTTTACAAAATCTGGCAGTGAGACTATATACTCTACACCAGGGGCGTCAAACTCATTTTTGTTGCGGGCCA